GCCCCCAGCCCCGCCTGTGACACCCCCCAAGGAGAAGTCAGAGCCACGACCTATTCCCTTGAACACATGGGACGCTCAATGGTAAGTCCACCATGCTGCACATTATGCCGCTTGGCAGGCTATCGTGCTCACTGGAATTTTCAGGCAACCACCGCCTGCCGACTCGCAACCCGAGGCGCTTAATTTTCCACACCAGGTTTATACCATGTCTCAGGACCCTGCTCCGTTTGTCCCTCCCCCGCGCTATCCCAGTCCGCCTAAAGACATGTGGTACGAGGTACCCAAAGAGAAACCTGCTCCGCCTTCACAGAAGCCTCGTGCCATCTTCCCCTGGGAATCAAACCAACCTAGGCCATCGCGAGTGTTCACAGACCTGCCCGCGGAGTCTGAAGCAGAAAAGTCTGAAGCTACGCCAACGGGTGAGCATCAAACGACGATTTCTGGTCAGCGCGATGCTGAATATATAGACACAGAAGCGTCGACAGCGGAACAGAAGAGTGAACCCGTGACTCCTGCCACCCCGACCATCAACGTGATTCCGTCAGACCCCTGGAACACTTTCACGCGGACGAATGCTTGGGATGAAATGCCCGAGATTGAGCGCTACGTCGAAGGGCTACAAAAGCACCGCCGCGTGAAAAGCCAGGGCTCGCCCGGCATCGCCTCGATTAACAGAAAGGCGAAGCAGGAGCGCGGGTTCAGGTTGACCGACTTTCCCAGCGAAGTCGATCGGCCCAGTCTTCCCGTGACACCGGCACCCATCCGCCGACCCAAGTTCTGGGGTGGCGGCGACCCCGGTGCTGGTGACGGTGAGGACGAAGAGGTATTGCCGGTCGCGGAGGGCGTGCCGCTGCAGTCCGCCTGGGTATGTGTGCATGGACAACGCTGGACTCCTGCAGACTGTCTTTGCGATCTCACTAACATGCTTCGGACGTATAAGGATCCGGCAGAACAACTTCAGAAGCTCGCCAAGCAACAGTCTGAAGCGCTGCTGAAGAAACTCGGACAAGGTGATGGAACGGAGGGATTCGGTCGTGAGATTCCCACTCGCTCTCTGCCGTTCGGCTCAGAGGGCGTGGTCTCAAGTGCTCATGACGCACAGCAGTCTAGTGGCGTGGTGCTCAGTCCGCAGCCGGTAAAAGGCGGCACGACTGCAAGTATCATGCGAAGCCTAGGAGCTGAGCAAGATGCCTCGACCACCCGTCGAGATATCAGCACGGAGCCACTTACAACGAGTCCATCGATAGAGGAGCCGTCGTATAGCGGTCCGGGCGCTGCTTGGGAGAAAGGGGAGGACCCGCCGGTAGGGGAGACGCCGTTGCTACCGACTGATGAGGAGCTAGATGTGCTCAATAGCTGAGAAAGAGAGTTAGAGTAGTTGCCGGTGGTTGAAACCATACTGATGTGAACACCTCAGTCTGGTGTCAGCTGCCGACGTGGCTAAGATGATGGAGTGCCATGTACTCACGGCAACGGGATGTATGATAGCAGTGGCTAGGTATTGGCGCAGCCGAGGAAGCCCCGGCAGATGAGGAGGGGCACGAGGTTAGCATAGTGTAGCAATGGCTGATGGGGCGCGGTTTCTGGTGAATGGTGCCCTCGTAATGTCTTTGTGCCGTATCAACCATCTGAAGCAGATGAATTCAGAAGAACTAATGACGAGCGAGCTTAAGTCTGGTTCTCCTCGGTCAGGTATTCTGCGAAACGGCCCTGCTTGATTTTGGCTCAGCAGGACCCCCCTTCCCGATCCTTTGCTTGGAGGGATGAGAGTGAAGCACCTATGTGTATGTTCTGGCTGTTAGTCTCGTCGCGGGCCGCCCACACGCAGTTTATCGCGACAGTCAGCAGCATATGTACGCTCTTTGTGTAAGCTAACGTGACAACATTGACGGAATACGAGGGCAAGCGCCATCCCGACGATTCCAGTGTACCGTGGCATCAAGATCTTCGCTGATTCATCTCATTGGTATACTCAGTACAGGTTTGATAGGTAGGATTGTGGGAAGGGGGGAAGGGGGCCGCTCAATGCCGTGCAAATTTCATTCTCAGTCAGTCATATGCCTGCCCACGCGTACTACGAGGCGTCGCCCTCCTGGTCATCACCCGCGTCCTCGACGGTGACAGCTTTGGCCTTGCCCTTCTCCTCGCCGGCCCTACCAGCGACCACTGGAGGCTGTGTCGATGCCGGCGGCGCGACGGGCTTTTCCCTCGGCTCGTCCGTCGTCGATGTGGTGTCCGAGTGACCATCTCGGGCGGAACTCCTGCTGCGGCCAAAGAGCTGGTTCTCGCCACCCCAGTTGGGCATGACGGGGTTAGGCGCCAGGATCTCGGGTCCGCCGGTCGTCCCGTTGGCAGTAGCTGCGGACGGCACTGCTTCATTCTGATGTGTTGAGCTTGACGGCTCCACAGAGGGCTCACTCTGGGTGTTCTGGGTCGTGGTGGGAACTGGGGCTCCGTCCAGGCGCTGGAGAGGGAGCAGAGACCAGCCCGGAGGTATGGAGACACCTTCGGGCAGGTCCTGGCTACCAGCGTGGATGGGAGCCGACTGCGCTGTAATCCCATGCCGACTAAAGGCATGTGACGGCGTCTGTGAGAACGGCTGCAGTGATGGCAGTGGCTGCTGTGGAACAGAGAAGGTGGGCACGGTGAACCCATACGGCACCTCTTGATTCGGCACTTGTGGTTGTTGCTGCTGCTGTTGCTGTTGTTGACGAAGCCTGTTCAGCTCTGCGAGTAGGAGGTTGCAGAGTTGGAGCTGCTGTTGGTCTTGTTGAAGACTCAAAAGGTTACTCTGGATAGAACGTTCAACTTCACGAAGACGTTCTCGTATCGATCCAACATCGTTACCCAAAACGCCGTAGGGCGCTGATGGAGTGGCAACAGTCGGAGTAATCGGCGTGGCCGGGGCAGGATGACCTGGAGTGGCGCCTCCTTGGCGACCTTGTGCCATGCGCTGCGCTAGTTCCTGTATGTTCTCTCCCCCTTGGGCGAATCCAACACGAAGGTTGCCAAAATTAAACACGCGCGCGCCACCATTCCGAGGAGCAGGCTGGCCAGCAGCAGGCTGCGCTGGAGGTTGTGGGCCGGCATTTTGTCCGTTTGCTGGCAGTGGGCGCTGGCCTTGGGGCTGGGCTTGACCGGCTGGTGCTGGGGCTGCTGGCACACCGAGACCGAGTCGGCCTAGAGCGGCATCCCGGTTCGCCGCTGCAGGAGGAGCATTGATGACAACCGAACGGCGGCAAGTAGGGCAGACCTGTTGACGCTCTAGCCAGCTCTTGAGGCAACCCATGTGAAGGATGTGGCCACATGGCAGCTTTTTGGGTCGGATTCGCTGGAGGGCGCCAGGGTTGCTGGCAGGATCCCAGGGTCTCATCTCCTCTCTGCAAATGATACAAGTATCCTCTCTGGCAATATCTTCTTGCGTGGCGTCGGCGTAATTGTTCATGTCTTCCATCGCCTTGCGGTATTTCCAAAGAGCCGAGCCTCGTTTGATGACGGCGCGCCCAGTCATGAAAAGGTCCCTCATGATATGGATGGGTAGTCCGTAGAAGGAGAAGAGTATGAAGAAGAAGACGATGTAGATCGAGAATTTGGTGCAATCTGTCCATGGTCAGTCACCTGTCTCCGGTGTTCACTTTGTAGGCATGTATTTCATACCAGCGACGAGGTCCAATATAAGAATCCATTGGCCTTTTTCTTCCCAGCCTGGTACCTCGATGTCCATCTCATCAACGTCTTCTTCACGCGGGAGGTCGGACTGGTCGGCGGTAGTCTCCCCATCAGCGCTAAGCTCCTGGGCTCGTTGTCTGATCATGTTCTCTCGGGTCTGTCGGACTTCGCGGCGTCGCTCCTCGAGTAGCGTCTTTGTCTGCTGCTTGACAATGCGACTCTCGAATATGGAGACCAGATATCGGACGCCAGTGCGGGCAGAGCAGGTGGCGAGCACTGCGAACTCGAAGAGGAACATGACCATCATGTCTGGTCGAGCTTGTCGGATCACGGTTCTAATGGTGTAGGCCAGGATCCAGAGGTCGTAGACGAGACTGAGCAGCAGAGACAAGCTGAGGCGCGTGTGGAAAAGGCCCGGATTTGCCGGCGGCTGTTGCTCAAGGATCTCAACTCGTCCGTCTCCAATCCAGCCCCAAACCTTGCCCGTAATCAACGCGGTGAACATGACAAGAAACCAGGCTCCTATCTCGTCTCTGAAGATGGTCATCGCAAGGCAGGTTTCAGTGATGGCAAACCATGCTCGTTCGGATAACTGCTCGACTTCGGTCTGGCGGAGGGGTCCGTAGAAAATGCGTTGTAGGCCGTAGACGGTGGTGCCATAGATGAGATAGACAAAGTTGATGAGGATCTAGTCAGAATGTATTAGAATATCTGGATATGCCAGCCATGACATGCGCCGCTAGTTTGAGAATAGGGCTCGTAGAATGCTTTCGTGGCGACTCACCAGGAGACAGAAGTTACTCTGAGCCAGATAGACCATGGCAGAGTAGAAATTCGCTCGCTGTTGGAAAGCTGAGACGACAACCGCAGTCGCCAGAGTCGTCGAGACCTGTCGTCGTCAGTTTCACCCATTCAGTCTTGCGTGTCGAGTTGATCATGCTTTACTGACCCCGGCATACCACACGAGCCGCATCGCTGGAGGATGCGGAATTGGTCGCGCTGCGTGAATTTCCTGGAAAAGGAGTTTGGGAGTTGTAGAAAGGGCGTCAAGTGCCCATTATACTGCAAATGAACAAGCGCGGGCTGGCGTGTGTCTCTGGGCCAAGCCGAACTATGATGGCGATGATGACCTGTTGGCAGCTCGTTGGTGGTTGAAGCCACGTTAGGATTCGGGAAGCTACACTGAGACGTGGCTGCCATTGGTGGAAGCTTGGGTGGATGACGCAGCAGGTACCACGATAAGGCCACGTGACTGGGTTTCCAGCGGCGGCCATGGCGGGGGTCGGGGGGTTGTTCGCCGACTCTCCGACCAACCTCACTTGCTCTCACGAAGTATCGAACAACATGAGATGAGCCCATTGATTACCGATGTGTCACTTGCAACATTTTTCAATAAACTCATAAATTCCCAGTCTTCACCACTTCGTTTTTCGATGTCCAATTTTCTAGTAAAGTGATCACTTGCAGGACGTGAATGACATCATAAGTCAGTTCATTGATTCCTAGCTCACCGAGGGGTGAACGATCTGCAAAAGCGCGTTGGGCTTCATTGCCAATAGAACACTGCCAATTTACTGAAAGTATTCACAGCATTGCCGAAGAGCTTGTGGATATTGAGCTCAGCACATAGGCCGTACCGCGAATATTCAACAGCATCGACCATGAACTCAATCATCACGCCAGCCTTTTTATCTTCTATCCGTAAATCGCGATCTCTCCCCCGTAACTCGTGGTACTTCATCACAGCCACCACGTTATCTATACTGAACAGGCCAGACGAAATTCCGAAAGTATTCAATGATGCTATTGGAGGTGCAGCTAGTCTGGCCGATGGACCTCCATCTGTGGATGAGCAGCTCATCATCGCAAGACGCATGCGTGAGGCTCTCGTCAAGGCATCCGCTGTCGGAGGCCTTCCAAAGGTAACCTTTGCTTCGCTCTTCCAGTATCTTGTCCCGTTGACAGGTCCTCATCACAGACCATCAATGCTCTCATGGCCATGAAGGCGGTAACGCCATCTCATCTGCTGGATGACCCGGGAGACACCTCACCCACAACACGACGGCATGACGTAGAGAAAGACTCGGTAGAAATCTTGGAACGTGGCGAAATGTTCTGGGACAGGATATACGGGAAGATATCGCGAAGAATCATGAGTCAAATGGAGAGGTGTGGCACCGAGGATTTGGCTGTCACTGCCCGTCTCATGTACGGCCATATTCTCAGTAACACCCAGATACTGTCTGCGCCGGAGACTTCGTTCGTCTTGATCGCTGGCCTGATACCCCAAGACGTATGGACTTCAGTACCCAGAACCAAGAATATGTATGCTGAGTCCACGTTCACAGGTCAACCCACAGCTCAAGGGTCATCTCAGAGGCGCGCTGAATGCAGGTGCCTCCAAGGACGAGGTCACCGCTGTACGGGATCTCGTAATACGGATTTGCGAGGCAGCAGGCATGCAGAAGCTTGATGCTTCAGCACCAGGAGGTTGGGGATGGAGGGGAGAGATAGCAGATGTATAACAGTCCCATCAGTCACATCGCCTGTTGGAAGATGCGCCTTCCCTCTGGCTGTTGCACGCTTTCGTAGTCACTTCATATTTCAAGCCTAATAGTTCGGCATCTATAGCAAGGAGTTCAACACAATACATTGCCTGTTGTCCTGTATAATTCTATAGAAATCTATATGCTCTTTGCTCCCAGATGCTCGAGGTTGCCGATTTTGATATGATGTATTCTATCAGCGTTGAGGGCTGCCTGAACAGATCTCGTACCCGATGTCTTTGCTTTTCTCACGACGATGCGGTCTGGCTTGATAGAGTGACACCCATTCGCACCTTGCTACAGCAATGGTAGTCAAGTTCGCAGCGGGCCTTAGGCCCTTGCCGGGAGATGCGCCTAGTTTCTGTATCAACCCACAGGGCTTGCATCGATCGACTACGGCTCATTCAAAACCTGTGCCAGCAATAGGATATCCTTCACTGAAGGCTGTCGATCACAACCGTTTCGCGGTCGGATCGCCTCGATTCCGACCGGCTGTAGGACGATATCAGCCACCAGGAGAATAATCCCCGGCATAGTCCCCAAGGACCAATGTCCCAGTACTTGGACTGGCAGCTGTCGAGGGGGGCGCGTCGATGAATAGACAAACGGGTGGACCGGGGAGCCCATCGGCACCGATCACGGATCGCCCATGCAAGAATAGTCGTCGACGATCCGCACATCACAATCGTAACCGGTGAGCCCTGCCAACCGAGTCTTGCACCGCTCATCATTTCCGTAGATGGTCAAGACAACAGGCGTGCCAAGCGGGAGGATTTCTCCCAGCAGCGAGATCTCAAGGCAGAACGCTGTCCGAGCGCCACGAACCAAGGTTTTGGCTGCGCGCGGTGCGTTGAGAAACGATGCTTGTTGACCGGCGGGGCAGGAGAGTTTGCTCCCAGTCCCGGTCTGCACGGCAGGTTTGTCTACGAGACTGCCCAGCCCAGAGTCCTTCGGATGCGAGACGAGGCAACACGGACTTCGTCGTACTCGTCCATGCCATCCGGTCCAGCCAGCAGTGAGCGAGTGAGTGAGGACATGCCATCAAGAAACCACACCCCCCACCCTCCATTCCCCTCAACCCCTCCCAGGAGGCATGGGTTGCACAGCACGCCCCAAGACAACACGCATCTCTGAGGCCGGGAAAAAAAGCAATGACTGTCTCGCGTAACCCCGAAGGAGGAGGGGATGAAAGCCAACCCCCTACCGAGGCCTTGTCTCTGCAGAGAAACGAAACAAGTAGCGAGGAGCAGACATGGAAAGTTGATACATTACGATGCGGGTCTTGTCCAATCAGGTGGTCATGTCGACTCTGGACGCGATGTAGTTCCTCGCAGGCTGGGCTCGGGGACTACAGGGGTGGGCTAGAGGGCGATCGCTGCAAAGTGGTCGCCGACCACCTGCAGATGTGCAATTTCGGATACGGAGTCTCCCGGACGGGGGGAGAGGGGGGGGGGAGGAGGGACGCGACCCTAACGTCTGAGCGACCGTTCATCCCCAATTCCGTCCAGCCTCTTCGGCAAGGCCAACAACGTCGGCGACCTTGTATCATCGTGACGTATCCACCGCCCAATGACCGACACTGCGATGATATGCATTAGACTGATGGTTTACTCAACGAGCGTATCTTCGTCCACCCAAGCGCACATGTTCGTGAGTTGACGAGTCGTCGTCTTCGTGATAGAGTCACTGGCAACGGGTCGGGATCCCGGTGGCCTCTGTGTGTAGCACGAACGAGGTGGTTGGCGTCTCGTAACAGGACCAGCTGTCTGCCATACCACCCTCGCGTGCATGTCTGTTCTCGTGACCCAAGGAGCTATTCCCAAATATTGGATGCCACCGGAACCAGGATCCTAGAAGGAAAAAAAAACGATGACGGGGGAAGGAAAAAGAGGAAGGGGGGGGGATGGGGGGCAATCTGCCTTGCCATCTCATACTTTCCGCGATCTCTCTCCCGTCAATATGCCCACCAAACGACACCTCCAACAGTGGGCCTGAAGGGGGAGGCAGCCCTGTCCTGCCAGCCTGCCTCGCCCATGCCCTGCTCACTGCCATGCCTTCGCCATGGGATGATGCCCCTCAACTTTTGTTTCGAACAGCCGGATGGGCTGGCGTTGCGGGTGCGGCGGGCTTGACCGTAAATCTGGGTGCAGCGACACGTGGAACTGGGCCAGGCCTAGAGCGATTTAGGAGAAAGCAACCGCATAGCGTTGTATTCGACGAGACTAGCTCACATGGCCTGGGCGGAGTGGCGCGCATCGAAACCCACTGTGTTGGGTCTCGGAATCGCAGGCATCCAACTCAGTCATCACCTACCTTGCCTCCTGTAGGTACCTGTACAG